TTTACTGTTGTTCTTTCATAACCTTAAAAGGACTTATTATAGTATGGAATTTAGTGTAAACATGGTCAGAAATTCATATTCTAACGTATAAAACTAACAGAAATTACAAAATAAGACTTTGTACATAACGTACTGCTTCATTTATATGGTACAAGTTGTATTGGAATGAACCCGGAAGTTGATTTAACTTTTTTTAGTTACTAGTAATTTTCAGTGTAAAAAGACAGATTATGAATTTATTATATTTGTTTGGATACATTAGGCTTAACTCTCCCGATTTAATTACACCGATTTAATTCAGAAAACCGCTTTTCTACAAAAGCTGCGTCTTAAGTATTTTTGGTTCGCTTGGGTATCCATTTTTGAAGCCACTCTCATAAAATCTCGCTAGATATCGCGTGAATCATACAAACGCTTTTTTTACATAGATTTCAAGCACGGATTTGACAACGACAACAACACAAGACTACCATGATACATTGGTTACGATAAATTAATCAACTTCCTAGATACAGCTTTTAAGAATTAGATGAAAACATTTGACATCGTCTTTGCACAGAAGCCCACAACTTTATCAATAAAGTCAATAGAAATCACTCGATTTATCTCTACATCATCGCGGGAAATCTGATTTATATAACGAAAGATAGGAACTTGTTTTAATCTAGATTACATTTGTTTTGTTTAAAAACTTAATCTTATCAGCAAAGTCAAAAGGCTAAGTAAAAAAAGCAAAATGATGAGCATGAAAATTATTTTAATGTGTTTCTGTCTTCTTCTTTGCTGTTGATATTTGTTTAATTAGTGTAGGTACCTGATTTCATTTAAGGCTTATAATATACATGTATATTACATGAAAGATATCGATAATCCAATTACCGCTTTTGAGGTCTGAATCTCCCTATTTCTCATCACAATAGGTTAACATGTATGACCTTTAGTGGGTGATGTATCAATTGAGGATTCAATTTTAGTTCAATATGGTAGGTTATATGCATCCCTTATTCAAATTCTCAACATTTAACAATATTGAAAGTACACTTAATCTTATGTTTAAAGGAGGAAAAAGAAAATTGGCATTTTAATCATCTATTACTTGTTTATTAGTAATTCTAATCGAGCATAGATTTTTTATGAGCATGACTGTATTTTCTCATTTTCATTTCAAAGTCTTAAAAACGTTATTTACATCCTCAAACAATTTCTTTTTTAATGACCACAAATACATTTTTTTCCGACGCATAGCAGGTCTTTAAGTTGATAATTAAAAGAGACATTCCTAGTTATTAATTTATACTGAATTTTGATCTGCCAAAATTAATGGCTTTTTGCGATGTATTTTCCAAACCTGAAAATACGCTCGCAACTTATCCGAACCCTCAACATGACAATTTTTAACATAACCCAAAGGAAGTGCGTAGGTCAATCTAAAATATATCTGGGATTTTTATATCAAAGATTTTTCAAATTCTTTTTTTTAATTAATGCGTGACTCCCCCTACTTTTCAATGGGACGAACTCTTTTTCACATTTATGTTGTGTAAGAATTTGAGCCTTATTTACGGAATTGTGAGTAAACTTGGAATTCCTAACTAAATTAAGGTTGTTCCAAAAGTAAAAAGGATAAAATCAAAGAAGTTCTTTAGTTACATGTATAAAACGTACACAAGTATTACAACTTGCTCTTTATGTGTTGATGTTTAAGCAATTATTCTGCATTTTGAAACAAAAATCAATAGCTTTTGCGACTTACTCTTTCCGAAGCACGTGTTCAAAGTAAGAAAAAAAAATAGGACGCAATTTATTGGTACCTAATACTACGTAATAAAACGTACACATGGGAACTAAAGAGAAAACTGCGTCATAAAATACTCCATTTACATTATGAACCTTGCACTGGAATGATCAGGAAAACTGATGCAATTTTTTTAACCAAAATCTTCAGAAAAATGGTGAATTTGGAATTTAATAATTTACTGTTGTTCTTTCATAATCTCAATAGGACTTATAATAGTATGGAATTTAGTGTAAACATGATAAGAAATTCATATTCTAACGTATAAAACTAACAGAAAATACGAAATAAGACTTTGTACATAACGTACTGCTTCATTTATATTGTACAAGTTATATTGGAATGAACCTGGAAGTTGATTTAACTTTTTTTCAGTTACTAGTAATTTTCAGTGTAAAAAGACTGCTTGTGAATCTATTATATTTGTTTGAATACATTAGGCTTAATTACACCTTTAGTGGGTGATGTATCAATTGAGGATTCGATTTTAGTTCATATGGTAGGTTATATGCATCCCTGGCTTATTCAAATTTTCAACATTTAACAATATTGAAAGTACACTTGATCTTATGTTTAAAGGAGGAAAAAGAAAATTGGCGTTTTAAAAATCTATTAATTGATTACTAGTAATTCTAATCGAGCATAGATTTTTTAAGAGCATGACTGTATTTTCTTATTTTTTCTATTTCGAAATCTTAAAAAAGGTTATTCACATCCTCAAACAATTTCTTTTTCAATGGCAACAAATACATTTTTCCCGATGCATAGCAGGTCTTTTAGTTGATAATTAAAAGAGACAGTCCTAGTTATTAATTTATACTGAATTTTGATCTGCCAATATTAATGGCTTTTGCGATTATAAAACGTACAAAGTATTACAACTTGCTCTATATGTGTTGATGTTTTAGCAATTGTTCTGTATTTTGACACAAAAATCAATAGCTTTTGCGACTTACTCCAATTTCCGAAGCACATGTTCAAAGTAAAAAAAATAGGACGCAATTTATTGGTACCTAATACTACGTAATAAAACGTAAACGTAGCAATCAAAAAGAGAGCTGCGTCATATGATACTCCATTTACATTATGAACCTTGCACTGGAATGATCAGGAAAATTAAGGCAATTTTTAAGCAAAATTTTCAGAAAAAAATAGTGACTATGGAATTTAACAATTTTCTGTTGTGGTTTCACAACCTTAAAAAGACTTATAATGGTTTGGAATTTACTGAAAACATGGTAAGAAATTCACACTCTAACAAATAAAACTTAAAGATAACAAGTCAGATTAAACAGTTTGGACTGATGTGTTATGAACTTATCAGAATAGAACACATCACCGAAAATATATTTTTAAAAAGACTCAAGAAGTCTTGGTATCTTAGATTACCAATTAACGTCTTTTCTTAGTAAAATATCCAAAATTGAAACAGATGTGTCATAATTCTGAGGTATCTTTAATCTTAGCTTCATTGGAAAAGCCAATAAACGAATGGAAATTTTATTAATTGATACATGTAACACGTCGTTGATATACGTAAATATCAAGTTGAATGCAAAAGCAAGTGTTTTCTTCTCAAGCGCAATGTATAAGGTTCCATCGTGAACTTTTCGTATTATATCTTAATAATATTCCTCTATCACCGGTGTTTACATCTCCTAAGTTATTAGTTAGTTATTAGAGCATGTTCCGAATCAAGTCAATTTTTAAACCGAGGCTGGCTACTACCGAATAAATTGATGTTACAAGGATACAGAGATTACAACAACTTGTTTAAAGTCAACATTTTATTGTCGTTATATTGACCTTGTTAGCAAATATAACTTAGATCGTATTTTGGCTGACTGGTTTAATACAATGTGTTAGGCTTTTTGTTTAATACTGAATTTGACAACGGAATGTTCCGTCTAACTGGCCAATACATAGAGCTTAATGTGGAAGTGACCGATCAACAAGGGGCGCTTACTCCTCCTGACCCCATCTGCTGGTCCTTGTTTATGCCCTCCTCACAGACTTGTACTGTTTACAGATTTCTTGACTTTTATCACTGTTTCTTATCTTAATCTTTTTTATTTCCTAGATGTAAATACCATGCATGATTCTAACAATTCAATTCAATATATAACACTGATTCTTTTGAATGGAAAAATTACACTTTGGAATGACTTTTTGCTCCAATGACCAAAAATTTTCGCCTGATGGGAATTATAAGGAACTTATTTTATAGCAATCCCGGTCTGTTAACTACAGGTATAAAACCTTGAGTAAAGGTCTTATTTATAGATATGCAAAGATGTGTGTAATGACATCCCAATAGCATGACCACCATACTGCAACATATTTTATAGTCGCATTGCAATGTTTTTTTCTGATTGTGTTATCTTTTCCATAAAAAAAGATCTCTAGATATGGATGCATGCAAAATGTACAATAAATATGATTCTGAAAAATGTAAACTTAATTTGTCTTACACAGATTGGTTATTAAGTTGATCAGAAAAAGATTCGAGCGCCATAAAAGTAAAAAAAAAAATGGTTTCATGAAATAGGGAGATAACGAACAGCAATAAAGCTCAAAAATTCATCAAATCAATACAAATTGGGAGAAGGTCAACCAAGGACCTACAAAAACATCTGTGAGGTTGGATCAGGTGCCATAGAGGAGTAAGAATCTCCTATAAAGTAGTAGAATATGCCCTGTTCTCCTTTTTACGATAGGGCAAACGAAAATCCGTAGTCAGATTCGTTTGATACGAAAGCATGGTTCAAGCAAGTGCAGGGAAGAAAAGGGGTCCAATAATGTAATAATATATGAGCGATAATTACTTTAGTATCTTTATCCAATGATGGTGTTATTTATGTATAATTATTCAATTGAATACTTTAAATAAGAAGTGACATGAGTTCTTCCGCAAGTCTTTTCATTTAGTCAATAAGTTAGGCCAGGGAAGATATAACCAAGACTTCCTTAATGGTAAAATATTTTCAGAAAACCCTATTTTCAGAAAAATATATACTGCTTGGTTCTTCTTTTTCCCTCTCTCATACACATTGTTCATTTTAAGTATATTTTTTTAATTTCTTAAATAGACAGAGACTGAATATCTCAATACATGCCTTCATTGTATGACTACATGTATTCAACTTTTCGTTAAAAAATTTCATATCATAAAATATTACCTAGATTTTACTCTAAATACACTTACCCATCATGGAAATTCAACCAAAATTGTTCCCTCGTCAATGGAAAACGTTTCTTACTTGATCCAACAACCACTTCTGACTGATTTATTGTTATTGTGTAACCTGGATCACATGTAAGGATTAAAGCTTTGGATGTGATGAATATAAATCAGGCTTTCTTTTAAATGATTTCCAGTCTACAGAAATATTTCTTTCTTGAACATGTCAGTGTAAACTATCAAATATGTTTTTTAAGTGTTCAAGTGCGCGCACATAACACTGATGTCCTGTTTCCAAAAATATAATAAAATGCAGGAAGTGAAATTATTAATGAAATAAAATAAATTTGTACAAAAAATTATATTAGGGATAGGCACATACGTAATTAAAATTATGTACTAGTACTTACCTTCCTTAAGATTTGTCTGTCCATGTAAAATGAATCAAGAGAGCTTTATTGTGAGTCTCATTTTTTGTCTTATATTACATTACATTACACATGTCCGGAAATCTAAACACAGACACAATCAGTTTTTTTTTCTGCTAGCTGAATTTTCAAGGTGGTGGATCAAAGAGTTTGTATATCTTTATTTAAAAAAAAATATGGTTATATTTTAGCAAAGAATCAGTTTGTATTTGGCAAATGCCACTATTTAACTGTGAAATTCGACTAAAGGACAAAAGGTGAATGATTTTTACAATTAGTAAAAAAAAAATCGTCATAATCATCATCAAGATGTAACTCTTCCCAATATTAAAAGTAACAGCCATATCATAGGTAATTGATACTTTTCTTCCTTAAAAAAAGAAAGGAAAACTGTTTTTATCAGAAAAAATAAAGACGTAGTTTGCTGATCATGCTACAGTGTCAGTCTATTTTACGGAACTCCTCGGGTTTTATCCTTCAAAATACTAGTAATCATTTTCATCTACCCTTCCTATATTACTACTTTGTATTCACACTTTGTTTTTCATAATTGTTGTTTTTTTTTTGTTTTTTTTTTTTTTTTTTGTTTTTGGTTTTTTTTTTTTTTTTTTTTTTTTTTTTTTTTTTTTTTGGATAGTCTTTAAAAAAGGAAATATAAAAACAAGTTTAATTTCAGATTATAGGTTTACAGTTTTTTTTAATTGTCTACGAAAAATCAATGCATTATATATGAAGTTACCATAATGCAGTTAAATGCAGCTTATCGTTGCAAAATAAATTATTATTTTTATGTAGAAAATTAGGAAAAAAGAAAGGCAGCTTGAATTATATTCCTGTTATCTACATCAACACGAAGAGTGTGATACACAAAAATACTATATTTATTTGCATTAAACCAATATGAATATTTTTTACAAAAATCACCAATGCTCTTCACATAAGACACATAAATTAATATTTTCAAGAAAAGAGTTACACAAAATCGATATCACAATGAAAACGATCGACAAACAACATAGGTCACTTGAGGTGAATCCAGTGAGCTACATATGAACATTTATTCCTTTAAAAAAATAGAGCCACAATCTTATTTCATCACTTTAGGAAATACATACTGTCGTTTAAGATGCAACCACTTAACTAATAATAGCCAAATTTGGTTTATTAGTGAAATGTGGAGATAATGAATCGCAATCAGACACAAATATTCATTCAAACAATACAAATCAGGAGCAAAGCAAACGTCGACCTTTACAAACATTAGAGGTGGGGTCGGGTGCCGTGGAGAAGTAAGCATACCTTGACAACCGGTCGCACCAATCGTGTGTTCCTCGTAACAATCGCAAAAACGGAAAAATCTCTAGGCATTTTAGTGTATAAATACTGACCTATAGCAATTGTGAAAAAAGATAGATTGCATTTGCTGACAAAATCATTGTATTGACCATTTAACTTCCAAAATGATGACTTAAGCCGAATCTGTTGATATTCTTCTTTCAACAGCTTTTTTTATTAATAGTTCGTTTTAGAAATTGTTCGTGCGTAGAGCCATAAGATATAAACCCCATATACAAGTGATAAGGATATATTGCTACATTATTAAGAAAAGATGAAGATAGAAAAGTAAATTTATCACATTTATAATAGGTCGTTATGTTTTTAAAATCTTTTCAAGTTACATAATCAAATATGAAAGAGATTCTTTTTTTTTTCAAGTTTACTAGAATAAATCGAGAACATCATTTATGGATAAAAATGACTAATATATCATTTGTTCCTATTCCCTGGAGTCTAAAGAGTGTTGTCTTAATTACGTTGAAATTTTTCAAATCTTCAACTTCTGGGGCCCGTTTTACAAAAGGACTTACGACTTAAGACCAAGTTTAATTATTCATATAACTTTTTAATTAACATTATATCGAAAATTATTTTAAACTTTTTAAAAAGAATGTGGTAAGATATTTTTACACAGACAATTTCAAAGAGAATTATTAATTTTGCAAAATTTTACAATAATTGAAGTTTTTGGCCTTAGTCGTTAGTTCTTTTGTAAAACCGGCCCCTGGTTAGCAAGCAGACAAAAGTTAGCAAGATTGTATGGAGGACAGAAATTTCTATTGACATTGCGAAATACATAGCCCTTGCTTAGGGCATCAGAGATGTTGGCCATAATATAGGAAAAAAAAACTAATGAAATGTTTACTTATGGACATCTTGCGAGCAATCTGTCTGCAGGTTGATTTGTTTAAACATAATAAGTACTTAATCTTTTACCAAATATGTGACAAGATGGGATTGGGTTGCTTGTACATGTATATTTAAAATACCACTTCTTTACAACTTTGAAAAATTCCACTTTACTCATAGACTCTAGCTGTCAAACGTTTATACATTATAACCTTAACACTCTACCAAAATTAATAAGCATTCAGTCAATCAAGTGTAGGACTTAGTTGGTCATATATTTAAATATAATACATCTTTGAAAATCTCAGTTTACTTATGATTTCATAAACTTGTTACCAAAAGTGTATAATTCATAAGTCCCTATCATGTGATTCATATCCCAGATTGAACATAAATTAGTCATATGAAAATGAAAGTAAATTATATCTTTAAAAGTGTTTTTTCTGAGCAATTTTCTTGTATTATGCAAAATTTTATACAGTAAACCCTCTACAAAAATGACCATAGATTAGGCTTCAATGTAGAGTCAAAATGGTCAAGATTTGAATTTTACAATTCAGTATTTTTTTATTTATTATCTTTTCTCATTTTTAACGAGAAAAGCTGTATGAATGCTAATAAATACATAGAATCATCATCAAAACTGTAAAATTTTAGTCACACAAGTTAAGATCAATTCGAGGTGGACCCAAAGTGGTCATTATGTGAAAATTCCTTTATACTCGGGTACGTACGTGTCGCAAAAGCTAAAACTTGCCTCTTGGATTAAAATGACTCTGTTTTAAAAAACATATTTTAACTTTTTAAGGGTTGGTTTTTTTTTTGTTGGTTTGAAAATTCTTTAAGGAAAAAAAACACAAACATTTCCCCCCAGAAATCAGCAATAGTTCTCATAGATTAATAATCAAGTAGGTAAGGTAACGTAAATGGTATTTTTTCAGCTAAAGTGGGAACATTTTTATAAGATTTTGTCATAATTACAAAAATATGTGCATAACTAAAGATTTCTTTATATTTTAGGGATTATTATTTATGTCATTTACATTCATAATCAGTCAATGATTATTGAGTTGACACAAAGGAGTGATTTTTAAAAAAAAAAATCAAATTTTAAGAGCATCACAAACAGAAGTACTGCTATTTATTGTTTAAATTATAAATGTAGTGATATTTCATATATATTATGCAGAAGTTTAAGCATATCCGTGCCCTCGATCGAAAGCATGGAAAATGGCCGCCATTAGTGTTTTGCATTAAAATACTATCAACAAACATACCGATAAAAACTACAAAATTTACTCCTTAAATCATTTTTAGAGCGTGATATCTTTTTTTACACATATTATTTTTCTCTAATTTATTGTAGTAAAATCAAAAAAAAAAAAAAAAAAAAAAAAAATTGCACTTCGCAAAATTCACATATCATTTTGCACAAATGAATACACTAATTACCACAAAGCGTATGAAAAATATTGAAGAATAATTGGATATAATCTTACCTTTCAAATATTTTTCAATGAATCTTATTAGCGTTGTGCACTTGTTTTCGACCTAGGTCATTTGCATATTTGTCTAATCTGCAATATAGATAATGCGCAAAATGTCTGTTGTTGCTTTTGTGCTAGTTCGGTTATGAAGCATGCGTACAAATAGGACTTTCGTATTTTGTTTTGCATCAACAAGAAAACAAATATGTGATGCCAAAAAATGCTTAAATCAGATATTGTTAGGTATTTATGACTTTCCTAAAGGTTCAAAAACAAATATCATTGATGCAGAATTTTGTTTTTAATTGTTGACAATGTCAAGTTTAAAAGGATATAGTGTAAGGACGATATGAAAACAAAATCTTCATCATTATAGATATAGTTTATGTACAGCAATTGAGAAATGTTTTGTTTTGAACATATTTTATTGACAACATGTCAAAGGGATTGAACACAAGTTCCAAAACTTAGATAGTCCTCTCCCATACATAAAATATCAATTTAAGCCATACAATATTTACAAAGAATTACAATTTTACAATTCAGAAATGTAACAAGTATATTTTATGACATTGATATTCAGTTTCATTTTACTATTTTGTTATAATGTAAAAATGCTATATCATTAAATTTATAAAGTGAGCACAGGCCCTTGACGTTACTTGTTTTCTTACTTGGAAAATATTATCCCATATACCTATATTGTTAATTATTGAACCAGTATGGGCTTTTTTTCAGAAGAGCCTGTGAAAGTGAGTTACATTGGATGGCCTTTAAGATTGCACCTTGTCTGTGTCAAGGTTTCACCTTGTCTGGGGCAGAATTTTTGGCCAGAAACCATTTTGTTTTTGTTTTATTATCGAGTTCTGGGAGGTCAATTTAGTTTGTTGTAATTATGTAATATGTACTCATTTTGATCAGCTATATCTACAGAAAATATTGGTTTGTGGCCTCCAATTATTCTTTTATTGAGTTTTATTGTCATTTTGAACCCCTAAATGTAATAAATGACATTTATGGAACATAAAAACTGTTCTGTTATTGTTTGCTTCGATAGGAAAAAGTTTCACTTGAAAATACGTATTTAACGTCAAGAGCATGTGTAAATGAGCAATGAAAATATTGTGATAGATCAAATTTTAGAAATATGTATATAAAAAAGTTAACAGTGTTATAAAAAAGTAATAAGCATAACATATTTTGCTACCTTTATATATAATTGTATGTTGATATTCAAACAAACTGTAACATGTGTTGTTGAACAGAACCTTCATATCTATGTTGTTTATAGATATAGGTAAAATTAGTAATGATTATCAATTGAATAATTATATATTCGTTAAATATAAGATTATTTTTGAAATTCGTGTTTGATTTAAACATTTGCGAATCAATGAACATATTTAAAATTTAGTGCCATCGTT